TATAATATACTTTACAAACACTATGTACAAACAATATTATACTCAGAATGTAAACCACATAATCTTGATTCCACAAGATTTCACAAACATAGAATTCTTGCACCCCACAAGAACCCACTTGAGAAAAACTTATCCTAAGATTTCTCTTAACTCTTCTAGAGACACCTTATCTCAAGAGTCATATACCCACCAGTAAAAACAAAATTTAAAGATCAGAAACAATACACCTAATGTGTTGAATGATCTTCCACAGAGATTAGCTCAACAATCTTCCAAGTTCTTTCAATAACACATATTTCTTGGATCAATCTTGTTATTGTAGTTTTTCTTAAAAATTTCATTTGATCTTCTCTCAAAAATGTTTTCACAACACAACCATGTTTTTTCTTTTCTTGATCTTTCTAATGATCTCTCTTGCTTTTATTTTAATCATCTTCTTGTAATTTTCAAAAAGAGTTATATTTATAGAGTAAACAAGATTTCACATTAAAAACTTGTAACAACATTAATTTATTGCCATAGCAGGTAATCTATTACCAATATTTAAAAACTGAAATTAAATTGATTCAAAAACTGAGGTAAACGATTACTGATACTAATAATCGATTATCCCGTATTTCAGAAACCATAAAACTCAATTTTGTGCAGAGGTACCGACAATCAATTACTAACATGGGTATTAACCCAATGCTTCTTCAACTTGTTTCACTTGTTTTCAACTTAAAAGCCACCATGGTAATCTATTACTTCAATTGGTAATAGATTATCACAAAGAGGACTTTGAATTCCACTTCAAAACTAAGTTTAAGTAATCTATTACTTGAAATGGTAATCTATTACCTGACTTAATCTTTAATTCTTTTGAATGAATTAAGTTTCATTTAATGTTAAAACACTTTGTAATCTATTATAAACACTTGATAATCTATTACATCATGTTTTCACATGAAATGAGAAACATTGAGTTTATGTTTACTAAAACAAGATAAGTTTTTAAAATTAATCAATCATAATCAAGCAAACACATTCAAGCTTAAGTTCTGTTAAACAATCAATACAATATCCTTTTAACATAGGTCAAAAATATAAAATGAAGCAAACTTAATCAAAGCTAAACAAAGTTACATCAAAACTAAAACTTCATCTTCACAAAGATCTTCAAAAGGGCTTCAAACTCAACAAGGGACTATTGGCCAATAAGATGAGTTATAAAATGATCAAGGAAAAGAAAGAGCCTTATGATTGTTAACAACATCTTCAGTCAGAGGAGAAGTCGGTTGAGGAGAAGAGTAATAACATCTTCAGTAGAAGCTTCATCCAAAATGTTGTCAAGACTAACATAGTCCCTCTAGTATAAATCTTTTCCAAGGTTGAATTGAAAGCTAGAGGGAACTTCAAGAAAATGCATAACTTGACGAACAACATGCTGAAAACCCCCTTCATGTTCTTCCTATATTTTATCCTCGGCATCATCCTTGTAGACTTTATATGCAACAACAACATTGGGTAAGATAGTCACGACCCTCGGGGGGCAATATTCCTTGATCCAAAGCCTCTCGAATATTAACATTCAGAAAGAAAAAAAGTTTTGGCTGTAACGAATGAGGGAATAGAGTGAGCTCCTACATATGAAGGCATTTTCTTTTGCGTAAGCCTTCTTTCCTTCTCAATCATGGTCTCTAAGCATTCAATAGTCTTTTGATTAGGAATTTTTTTTCTCAGAGGGACCTTTACCTTAGATTTTTTCTATGATTTGGGGGGCAAGACATCAATGGGAGGATCTTGAGCGATATTTGTTTGAATCGAAGTGTTAGTAGCAGCGAAAATTGCATCAACACAAGCGTGTTTTTTCCTAACTTGGAAAAATGAAGCAACCGTGGCACCTGAAGAAGCCATTATGCCTACAACAAGAAAAAAAGTTAACAATCAAAACAATATATAAATAAACAACTTTTTAGAACAAAATTTACCTTCAAGATCCCTAATATGCTCATAGGATCTATGTAAATTAGTCAAACATTGATAAGGAAGATTTTAAGGCAACATGTTCAAAAAAGACAAACTTGAGAACTCTTTGGCATTGAGATAATAAATGGGAAGTTCATCAAATCGACATTGAACATGAGTCTAGTATAAAGGGAAGAGTGATTTATTTTGATTATCAAAAGAAATGAAGATGACGTGAAAGGTGGATTTCAATTTTGAAAAATCCCACTTTAAAATTTTTGTAGGAAGAGGTATAAGGTTTTAAAGGTTTTTAGTTAAGGAGTCGAGCTAAAGACACTCACTTGACTTTTTCACTAGGACGACAATAATAGTAATGAAGAAACAAGTTGGAGGTAGGTTTGACACGAGTATATTTTCATAATTACCAAAAAGCTTGCATAGTTGTCCAACTATTTGAATGAAGTTGGGTAAGGACAATGTTAGGTATCATAAGAATACTAGTAATAAAAGGGTTAAAAGGGGTAATGACTCTAAGGTCTCAGAAAGACAATTATACATAAAGAAGAAATGTGTTATGTCTTGAGGGGTCTACTAGGCCAAAATGTAATCTAGGTTAGGAGAGTCATCAATTTTACAACATTTGACAAATATAGGAAAATGATCCTCTTAGACAAAAAAAAAAAAATTTAACATGAGATACAAAATCGAGGACTATCTTTTTTTTAGAAGTATCTTCACTTTCATCAATATCTAAGTCTTTAAGTTGAGCCAAAGGCTCTATCATAGTGTTTGAAGGGGTATTTTTGGAAGAGTAGGATAATTCAGAAAATGTAGACGAAGATGAAGTATCAGAAGAAGAGTCACTCATCATTTCATTTATAGAATAAAATTGAAAGTCCAAAAAGAAAATAAGGAGAGTTCTCGATCGTAGAGTAAGAAAGAAGAGTTGTTAGTGTCAGAGCATTAAATTTGCTAAAATGAGCTCATATTTATAGTAAGGGAAATCGAAGGAGCAATAACAACATCAAATGTCATAGCCATCAGATCAAAATCAAATTAACGAGTGTCATTAAATGAATCTTTGTATGCTCACGAAAAGTAATTCATCATTTCAAAAAAGAAGGTGAAGAGACACAATGACTCATAAGGGAAACATTTTAGAATTAGGTGTTGTCAAACAAGTTAATAAATTGTAACACTTATCGAGAAAATTCAAACATATGCAATGATTAAGTTTTCATTGATTTAATAGAATCTTGAAAACCCAAGAGCATGTATACTGATAAGGTATAAACCAAGGGTAAAATCGATGACATGACATAGCTGAAGAGTAAACCAAAGACCCATCAGACTAATGTCGAAGATTGTGCGAATAGGTATATTTGGAAATGTAAAAAGAATACAAGATATAGATAATCATGTGTTATTGGGCTTGATGTTAAGACCTATGCCCAATTACAGTTAGTATAAATAATAATGTATTAAAGAGAAAAAAAGTACTTTCTTTTAGATATTGTATTTATTACAATATGAATTATGTTAACTTGATCAAGACTGAAAACTTACTTGAGTTGGAGTGACTTTTATAGGTATACTCCCTTTTCTTCTTAGATAAGTAGGGTTGAAGAAAGTTACATCAATGTGAAGAGGGAAGGCCAAAACTACCTACCTTTCCAAATAGGTAAAGTCAAAGAGAAATAGAAGACAATCAAAGGATTAAGGACTTAAAGGGCGAAGACTAGAAGTTTATAGAGAAATACAAAATTACCCTTGTACCACTATGTAGGTACAAAACTTAAGACAAGGACGACACTAACTATGAGATAAAAGGAATATTTTATATAAATTATTTTAGAACACTTTTTTAATATTCTTGAATAGATTTTTTTGGTATATATTTAATATTTTAGATCAAATATTTTGAAGTATATTTTTAACATTCTACACTATATGTTCTTATTCAGAAAACATTCACATAAAGATAATATGTATATAAACTAAAATAATGGGTGAAGAAGTAAATGCAAATAATTAGTAGTGGACTAATTAAGGTTCATGATATATACACCTCCTTTTTTCTATAAGTACACCTCCATTTAAAAAAAAAATTAAAATATTCTTAATTTTTATTTTTAATTTTTTAATTTTACACTCACAATATTTAATTTAGTAATTTTTTTTACACATCTTTCCTCATTTTTTCAATTTTCACATGCACTCCTTACCTTTCTTTCACCTCACTTATTTTGATAGGTAATTTTAATTTTTTTGGTCTTACATTACTCTTCCTCTCTCCTCTTTCAGTTTTCTTACTTTTATCTCCTCTCTTACCCTTTTAGTTTTCACAAATATGTAAGACATAAACTAGTTTTCAATAATATTATAGGTGTGTGTGGCTTTTTGACAATAGGTAAAAAATTAAAAAAAGACGAAATAGTGCATGTGAAAACTGAAAAAGAAAAAAAGATTAGTGAAAAAGAAGAAGAAAATAATAAATTAAAAGTTGGAGATATAAAATATAAAAAATATATATATTTTATAATTTTTTTAAAAAAATAAAGGAGGTGTACTTATAAAAAAATAAGGTGTATATATCATCAACCCTAATTAATTAAGTACGGGCTATTTAATGTTTTTGTTGGCCTTGATGTCTAAACTTTTTATGGGCCAAAATAATGTGTCCAAGTGCATTGGGCTTCTTTTAATTTTATTGAATCACACATATAAAAGCTGCTTAAGAACTATTCCAGTTAATAATTCTTTCTCGTGTCAACGTAGAGGGGAATAATTATCTATTTTTTAAAACACTAATTACTTGCATAATTGTATTATTAAAGATTTATGTTATAATTAAGTGCTATATATATAATTATAATAATATTATTTGATTACTTGGTATTCTAAAGTACATTTTTCAACATTTGATTCATATTGACCTTTATTCAGTATTCTAGTCATAACTTGAATTGTAGATATTTATGCGTTATTTACATGTCAAGAAAGACGAGTAAAAGCCTATTTGTATAACTAATGACTATATATTTTTGTTTCATTCAACACTTGTAAGTAACATATTGAGAAATAGAGTTTCATATTTTTTCTGTGAAAATTACATTTTGTTTTCTATACCAATCAAATGATCATTTGAATTAATTAATTAAGTATCATGAAACCACAATTTGGTTTTTAGCACTTGGGCATATTCGGAGGTGGTGGAGGTAACGTGGTAGAAGGAGTGGGTCCATTCTCAACCTCGAAAGCCATAGCCAATCCCCATCCCATATGAGTGTCTATATGGCAGTGAAAAAACCATATACCTTCACAAAATAACCAACATGTAAAATTTTATTTCGATAATATATATAAATGTATATTAATAAAATCTACATTAATTATAAACACATAATGTTAAAGTAAAACTTTGACAAAAATATATTTTTCTTCTCTTATATTATTTATTAGTGTCAGTTTAGTCTCACTTTAATTAATTGAATAAATTTAGTCCTACATTTTTAAAATATATCTCAATGTTTGACCTTCTGTTTCTTTTGTTAAAATATTTAACGAATGTAATACATGTCATGCCACGTGTCATGCTATCATGTCATGTGACATGACATCATGATACGTGACATGACACATGACATGATAACATGATACGTGACATGATAACATGGTAACATAATACATGTCATGTCATCGTGCCACATGTCATGACACGTGTCAGATCTGTTAATTATTTAAACGAAAAAAATGGAAAGTCAAATATTGAGATACATTTAAAAAATGTAAGACTAAATTAATTTAATTAATTAAAGTAAGACTAAATTGATACTAATAAATAATATAAGGGATGAAAAATGTATTTTTGCCTACAACATTAATTATGACAAGAGAAAAAGGATACCTGGATTATTTGCTTTGAATCTAATGACAGCCCATCCTCCACGTGGCACACCAATCGTGTTCCTCATTTGTGGATTCACAAGATTAAACTTTTCTCTATCTCTAGTGGCATTGTAGTTTCCATAGCCTTGAGCCAAGACGTAGAAGTTGAAACCATGAAGGTGCATGGGATGGTTCTCCACATCAAGGAACGACGTGCTTTGCAAAACAATCTCCACCGTCGAGTTAAACCTCACACGCTTCACCTTGGTAGACTTATGAGCAAATATGCGCGTGAAGTCAAGGCTAGTGTTTGGGCTTGTATAATCAAACTCATACGGAGGCCCATTGGGAAAATCCCTAGTGTACACCCCACTCACACCCTTATAAAAGGCCTCCAACATGGACACTCCTACGTCACTGGGCAAAACAAAGGACTCGTTGTTGATGCTGGCGGAGAAGTTAAACCCAAAGGGGCCCAAGCAGGTGCCGTTCTTGTGACACCGCTCCAGGTTCACTCCAAACACCATGAAAAGACTCTGGTCCACTTGGTCTGGGCAGGCGGCCCAGTGAGGCCCAATGGGGAGCCCAGTGAGGTTGGTGTAGAACTTGTTGGCGGTTTTTGTGTCGTTGTAAACGGGCATGAGGGGCATAGGGGGGGATGCGGATTGGGATCCTTGGTAAACGACGAGTCCTCTTGCTGTCGTATTGTCAAACGCTGCCGTTGTGGAGTAGTAAACGGAAGCTGCCATGTAGTAAGAGCCAATTGGTTGGTTGGCTTCCAGAAGGACGTCGGTGGTTTGGCCGGGGCCGGCCACCACCACGTCGGTCACTAACGGCGGCGTGTAGACGGCGTCGATGGCCACAACTGTGAAATTGTGATTGGCGAGCTTGAAGAACACTTGGGTAATGAGGTTGGTGTTGATTATTCGTAACAAGTAGGTTTTTCCTGCTTTAACCTTCAGTTTAAACATCCCTAATTATATTGATGTAAAGTTTAATTAGAATAAGCATATTGGATATTTTACTTGTGAACATGCATTATTAATATATAAAAGAGATATTTCTTTTAATAATTATTTTAATTTCTACTTTTTTTAATTATTATATTATTTTATTTTAAAAAAATTTAAAAAATATTTTTTAATTAAATTTAAGAACGTAAAATTAATGAATTAATTATAATATTAATTAAATTAATATATTTTTATTATTTAATTTTTATTTTTATTTTATTTTTAATAAAAACACGAAATATCTCGATTTTATTAGTCATAAATAGTATCAGTATTAATTTAATGATTAGGTGAAAAATGATTAAAATAATTAGAATTATAGCGACGATTTTTGAAGTATTTCATATTTAAAAATAATAAAAAAAAGTATCGACATCAGATTTGGTGAAATTGCAACTATTAACATTCCTATTATAAAGAGACTATTTAAATGCTTCCGTCTGAATCTTACTATAACACATAATTTAGGAAAAAAATTTGGTTAAAAAATTAAATTAACTTTACTTTGTTTATTCTTATTAAAGATGGTAAGGATATGTATTTTTATTTTTTAATTTTAAAATTTTTTCAATTAATATTTATGATTTTTGTTGATATTGATCCATAAATTTAAAATAGTATAATATCTTTGTATCTCATAAAAATTTATTGATAAATAAAAAATAAAATAAAATAGATAAATTATGATTTTATTCTATAAATTTAATAAAAATAATTAATATAATGATTTATATTGATCCATGTAATTCAGTTAAAAATGTTTTATAATAAATATTAGAGATAGTAATTAAGAGGTTAATGTAGAAATAAATTTGTGTTAGAAAATTTATCAGCAATTTGACAAAATATAAAACGGCTAAAAGCGTGTAAGTATAATTTATTCTAATTAAAAGTTTAGTTAAAAAAAATTAATCAATGTATATTTATAATTTTTTTTTTGCAGAAAAGCCTTTATTTTTAATGGAAGACAATTTTTATTATATTATTTTTCTTGTGAGGGTGTTTTATGTTATGTTATTGTTCACTAATTTTTATAAGGAAAAGGATAAATAGTATTAAAAAAAGGGGTTTAACTATATAAATTCTATGAAAAAAAAAAAAACTAGATTCTACATTTATAAATTCCGTTAGAATTTTAATTTAACATCAATACTCCATATACCCTTGAATGATAATGCGAAACCTTTTCGCTAAAAAAGTATAAAAATACTGTGACACCTTATTAGTCAAATTTGTCTCTTTTCGCATACTTTTCGTCGTTCAAATTAGTTGTCCCCTTTCAACATTTTTAAAAACTTTAATTATTAATTTAATAATAATATTCAAGCTTACTTAAGATTTATATTAACATTTTCTTTTACTACAATATTTATTTTCTTAAACAGGTCTTGCTAAGGAATACTTTAAGAAAATTAGTTAAGAAATTAATAAATATTTTTTTTTATTAAGTAGTTGAAGTGTATTTGTAACATTTTATCATAATTGTTTATTTATTTATTTCTTGACTAGTGTTCTAAGGAAACATATTTGTATTTTACTTCTTCAATATTTACTTTAATTTTTTAATTTTATATTATTTTTTTGTCACCTCAAACATTCACAATATATTCTTATATTAACTTCATTCATTTAAAAGAAAATTCTTTTGTATCTAAATTAAATTAAAACCAAATTTAACTTTTGATCAATATTCAATCTACGATTTATCTCCCAATATATATTTTTTTTTACTTGCAAACAAAATTATGTGTTTAACATACTACTACCTTCTTCCTATAATTATTAACTTTTTAAAAAAAAAATTATCAAAAAATAATCTATATTGAAAAAAATTCAAAGTGTAATTAATATTTTTTAGTTATATCCTTATTTGACATCTTGTTACAAGTGGCACAAACATTAAAATAAAGATACTAAATAAAGTCATTTCAATTCGAATATAATAATTTGCAACCCTATTAAATATTTCATAATTTTATACATTAACTTTAAACATCGATATTAATTAATAGAGTTAAGGTCATGGAATTCAACAAAAAAGTTAGGTAGGCATTTTTATTTTATCATTTTGAAAAGGATAGGTAAGCATCTTGAAACTTAGTTTAGAAGCAAATTAATGATTAGACGACAAAATAGAATGAGAGACTTAATTACCTTCTTGAGAGCAATTGTAAAGATCACCGGGCAAGCCATTGATCATGAAAGCATCCGATGGAGGAAGTACTTGGGAATCAATTTCCATAACATCATCTTTCCACCATTCACCTGGAATTAACTTTTTATTACTTTATAAAAAAACAAATAATGGAAAGAGATTATTGAAAAACTAAAACAAATAAATAAAGTCAACAAGTGAATTTGTATGAAATTATATTTGTATTTCAAATTTATACAATTTTTTTAACATAAGATAAATATTTTTAAACTAATATATTCCTTAACTAAAAGTTAAGAACTAAAATCTCACAGTACTATATAATTTATTTAAGAGATTCAACTCTCTCAACAAATGATTTCTCATATATATATATATATATATATATATATATATATAATTTAAGAAATAATATTATTTATTAATTATGTCATACCTTGTTGATTAATTCAAGATAACGATAAGAAGAGAAAAGAGAGAAATGTCACTATAAGAAAATTGACATATAGTGACACACACCCTATAATGAAACAATATGTATTACTAAAAATTAATTTTTTTCATACAATAAATATAATATATATTTGTATATTATTAAAAAGTGTAGGTATAAACTATAGTGACACACAAAATATATTGTTAAATCTCATTTAAAATAAACACTAAAATTGCGTGTACATGTATGTCAAATAGATATATACTTACATATATTGTATCTATAGTGACATTTTTTATATGCTACTGTATATGTAAAATTTGTTGTAGTGTGTAATGTTGAAAGATTAAAAAAAGTAAAATATTATAATTGGATGAATATGCATACCTAATAAGATGGGAACTTCTTTGTAGGGTCTAAGGAATGCATAAGGACGACCTCGGCGGGGACGAATAAAAAGGGCACCATGAACAGTGGCACGTAAAAAGGAAGAATGGGCATGCCACCAAAGAGTTCCCTCTTGTCCTATAATGTTAATTCTGTAACTAAAGCTATGTCCTGCTTGAATTGGACATTGAGTTACATATTCAGCACCATCTGCCCACGCACTCATTACTTGAAATATTCCATGCCTGTTTCGTACAACAACATGTAAAATAAAATAAGCGTTGACCCTTTCATTGTACATATTAAGGGAAACAATTTTACCGGTGTTACATCTCTCATATAATAACAATATTTGTCAACGAAAAGTAGATAATAATATCTTTGATTCAAACCTTTTAAGTAAACAAATACACACTAACTTTTTAAGCCATGTATATATAAATATATCTCAATGCTAACTTGATCTTCATATATGGTTCAAAATTACTTATATGCCAATCTTATATCACAATATTTCTACCAATTTTTTTTATTAAAATTATAATTTTAGCTTCTTTTTTTCATTTTAGATTTCACTTTGATCTTGTGAGTTTAAAAAGTTTTATTTTGATCTCTAAAAGTGTTTCTATTAGTTAAATTAATTTTTTTTTATCAACTTTTATACTAATGATATTAATTTTGATTGACATGACGACATTCTCAAATTTACATCGATAATATTAAATATATTTTTATGGGCAAATGTTCATATTGTGGAGTATAAGAAATTCTTTCCCT